TATAGAAATAAATGGGACAAATTCTGTCAATTTTGTGGGAAATTCTGTCAATTATGTGGGAAATATGCTATCCAATAGGAATTTTTTGTAATCACTTCTCGCCCCCCCCCCAATCACTTCTTTCCAACCCCCTAATATTTTCCTTCCCGTACGCCCATGCTTAAAATCGCATTAACTCGCCAACATGCATTCTGTTTGATATATTCAGTCAATAATGTACTCAAGTTTATCAATTGCTGCTATTTTGCTGGCAAATCATGTATAATCCAGGTGTTTTGCAATCAAAAGTAGTGCAACATGGATAAATCAAATAAGTGGATTAGGCTGACAATATTTAGTCACTTAATAGGCTCCGGTCGTTAATAAAAACAGAGCCTTTTTCTGCTTTATGCAGACTTTACAATAATTAGGCAATTCTGGGATATGAAAGACCCATAGATTCCATTACACTACCAGCAACAAAATTGAGTTAACGGTTAATTTCATTATTGGTGTAAAATGTGGAGGCTGGGCTACAATTTATATGGACTATGGTGGCTGGGCTACAAATTAATCTATAATATACATGGCTTCTCAAAGCCTAATTGCTGTTAGAACAACAGTAGGAGACTATGATAATGAGAGTCAATGAGTACGAGTATATAATAAGGTTATCCTGCAATTTGTGCACTGTTGCATGTAGATCGAGCACTGCATTGTATACAATGGTTGTACTTCGACATGTGCATGGTTATACTCTAGCTCCTAGTTATAATTATATTGGCTATCATACGAAAAACATACGTGAGGTTTAATATGAGCGAGATTTGCAAGTTTTGCAACTCTCATCTATTAAATTTTCCAGACCTGTATATAAAATAAACAGTAAAACAATGATTACATCGTACATACCATACAATCTTTGCTGTTGCTTGTTTGCAGAACACTTGACAAATTATCAGGTAAAAGACTTAAAACCACGATGTAGTGCCCGGTGTGCCATTTGTTTAATATCATTTTGTTTAGTATTTTTTTTAAATAATTTAGAATTCCGACCATTTATATGCGATGTACTTCATGTAAATTAAACTTTACGGCATTACGCCGACAGTTTCCGAATGCGTGACAATACTGTTTCAAACTGTTTCTGGATATAGATATCAAACATAATTTTATAAAACATGTTTGTTGAAACAGTTTAAATAAAATGCAAGCTAAATAAAGAAGTGTTGACAAGATACAAAACAAGACAATTTCACTTACAAGAGTGACAAGGTAATTTATAGGAATATAGCTTATTGTAACCATGGATAATAAAATAAATTATTAAATAAATAAAATAAATAAAATAAAATTTATTTTATTATCCATGTTGTAACTGTATAAATATATTGTGCGTTTCTACTCCCTGTGGGCTGTGGTTCTTTTGGAAATCAAATATCTATTATATTTTGCAATTAATAATATTAAAGTTTAGCCTAAGACATGTGTAGTTTAGTTATAGGTTGGTATTTTGCAATTATGTACCGTACATGCCCCTTAAGTAGAGTATATTTATTAACTGTTTACAATATTTGTGGTATATATTAAAATGTAGCCATGAATGCATGACCACATGACCCCACGAGATGAACTCCAATGGCTTCTAAATAAGACAATGGATGAAAAGTTCACGAATATTGAGCTTTATATATGATTTGGGTTAAATACAATAATTATTAACCTAGCTTTATATAAAATGTACATACATGTTCTAATAATTGTATTTTGCTTCATACAATGCATATGTGTGTGAAAACATTACATTCAGCTCACTCCCCTTTGGGGCTTTTCAGTCACCGCTTACATCAAGTATTAGGGTTACTTATGTTAGTCTAGACTATTTATCTTTATAACAATGCGAATATGATATCACTTTTCTAACTGTGTTTATTCTAACCCACCCTGCCATATTTTGCTTTGTGGGAGGAAACCGGAGCAAAATATAAAATTCAATTACCTTGAAAACACAGGTCTAAATTGCAATCCCTAAAATTTAGAATTTTCTCTTAAATCGCCTAAAATCGCATTAAATCGCAGTGCTTGAAAGTCCCAGTTTTTCCTTAAATCGCCTAAAATCGCCCAAAATCGCATTATATCGCAGCGATTTAAGGCGATTTACCGCCCCAGAGTAGGCCTCAGTTTAGCAAAACTTAGCTATATAATCACAATCACTACACATATTTGATCAAAATAATATCTTGATTATTTAATATCGACACAAAATCACTTAATAATGTACGCAAGTGTGAATACTATGCCTTCAAAAATATTCACACAATATTCAAACGTATTCTAGGTGAGAATATGAGGTGCGTTTTATTCTAAGGTATTCACATCTGAATACTACTAATATTCCGAGGATATTCGCAGTGAATATCAGTGAATACGTGTGAATATTCATCATATTCAAATTGATATTTGCACGTATTCACATCTGAATACTTGGCTTTTCATGCAGTGTTTTGCTAATCCGGACTTGGTCCCCAATGTTAAACTTAAACTGGATTGATTTTTTCGACTCCTTCCCGTAGAGTGTTTGCCACACAATATTCTCGTTACTTTTATTCACATCTACCGGTCTCATACCAATACTACGATGTCGAGAATGATTATAAGATTTGACCAGTTTCTGGAGAATGTCCACGTACTTGAGCGTATTGTTCGCTGTAAAGTATTTCCACATTTTCGTCTTGAGCGTACGATTAAACCTTTCAACAATCGATGCCTTGGTTTCGTTGTACGTCGTAAAAAATCGAATGCCATGTTTCTTCAAAAAGGTTTGAAACTGTCTATTGATAAACTCCGTCCCCTTATCAGTGTGAAACATTTTCGGTTTACGGCCTTTCTTGATTATTTTCTCAAAGGCTTTGACAAGATTGTTCCCAGTTTTTGCTTTTATCGCTTCAACCCACGCATATTTGCTGAGTACATCAATAACAGTTAAAACGTACTTGTACCCATTATTCTGTTGACTTAATGAATCCATAATGACTAAGTCTGCCTCCCACTCATCATCCATGGCTCCAACTATAACACGGTTACGCCTGAAGCGATATCTGACAGGTTTATGCAATGAATAGGCATCTTGCTTTTGTAACCATTGGCGTATTTTATTCCGCGATATCTCATATTTCCCTTCGTTTTTCACGGCGCGATAAACGGAATCTACGCCACCAAAACTCGCGGGGCTTTCTGGATCGTAATAGATCTGGCTTAGATATTTCTCCGCCATCGATGTCTGAAGTTTGAATTACAATTTTTCCACCACAGCAAGCAGAAATACAGCGTACTTTTCGAAAAATGTTTCGAAGAGAAATTTGTGGTAAACCTTTATAGCAAGGCATCCTCACTCCTCAGAGGTTTGAACAAAATGAGACAGGCAGTAATTATAGACTGATATATAAAGCGATCAGTGTGAGTGAGAGTGTTACTAAAATCGGACGTTTACTTCGTTTATGTTTGGGAATAGTAAAAATCCGACATGCCTCGATGGTTTTTTGTACATTGTGACGAATAGATTCCTCGCTATCATTTTGTACACATACCAAAGCTAAATAGGCAATAATACAACCAAAGTTTGTTACATTGATCTCTCTGTAGATTTGGTCAAGGTTTGATCACGAGCATTCACTGCACGATGTAGATCTCGATGGCGGTCGAGAATTGTATTTATATGAAACGATAAAGTTTGCTTATCAATATCAATTTCATTTCGTTTCAACTCATCAAAAATTATGTCTATGTTATCCATGATACTATCACCACAACGATTGAACAACAAATGAGACACACAGTATTTATTTCAGTAAATATATGCAAATTTACATTAATTAACTAGCAACGTATTATTATTACAAGAGGTCTATTTTATCAAGTTCACTTGTTAAACCAAATCTACGAAATTCATCATAGGCCTCCTTAGTGTTAGATTTAGAACTATTAAATGTCTCTCCTGTTCCTTCAATCATGTACTGGTATTGTAGTGGATTACTGAAGAGCACGATGCCCGTGTTGGTCACCCGAGGGCCTTGTTGCTTCCATTCGAAGAAACCACAAGAGTCGTCCTTCGGACAGCAGCAAAAAACAGACGGTTTTGATTCGGACCATCTTTCTTGACTTTTCGTTCACAGCACACCATTCCATGTTGACATAACGGTCTTGGACCTTCGAACACGTCTCCCCATTGCCAGAACTTGCAGGGATTCTTTCGCTCAGAACATACGAAGAAGGGTCGTCCGTAGTTATCTTTCATTGTGTCTTTGACCACACATAACTTGGCATATTTCTGATGTGTAGGACATACGGGGTGTATAGAACTACTTGCACGAAACGCAGCTACAGCTCTCGTAAACATATAACAATTTTCGTCCGGGCAAAAGAACTCACAGCTTGGTTTTTCCCAACAAAACCAAAATGTACCATTGTTTGTAGTTGTAGAGGCAGCAGCTTTTCCGTGTAGACATTCCATGACTGATGTAGAACTAATGCAGAACTATGTCTATTACAAAACGCTTGACGATTTTATACAGACGCTCGTTAAATCAAACAACCAATCATAGTAAGCCAACATTAATCCCTCCATTGTATCATAAACGTGGGGGACGCTAAAAAATGCGTGGTCAGCAAGTTTCAACCGATTGTGTTTAAACCTGCCCGCGTGACGTCATTGCATATAATTACGACGTATGTTAATGAGTGACGTCATTCCGCACCCTCATTCCTCCTCACTCCTCCACCACACTCCACCGCCGCACTCCACCGCCGCAAAAATAAGGGTCGAAAACCACATACACTACTACTTATATAGAAGAACGAAAGACGGACGTTCCCGGCCCCATAACAAAACATCTAGACATAGTACAAGAAGAACATACTCAAGTTCAGTCAACTACGACATTGACTGGCAGTACAAGAAGTAGGCTTGATTTTTCACCGACCTCAAACTCTACTGTAATTCCGTTTTCGACCCTGATTACTGCACGTCACAGAGAGAAAATAGCAGCATGCAGCTGCACGAACAGAAGACCCTCTGTCTTTGCAGATATCATTATGAAACATTGTCCCAACTTAGTTGGAGAGACGAAGAGAAAAATCACGGATGATATAAAGGCGTCTTAATTGCAAAAACCTTTGCCATAGAAAAATGGCTCTATTTTACACGCTGGCCGACAAGAGCCGTACGGCATGATGATAAATTTCTCGTTTGAAAAGTTGTGGGAAGAAATGGAGACCAACATCCCATTTGTCATAGAGGTTCTAAATGCTATCACTGGCGTTCAAGGAGGTAAAGCGAAGCAAGACCTACAAGCAAAGTACTGGTTAAAACGTTTTATATTCCATTCTAATGAATGTACGCGTTTAAATATTTGTAATCCAGCCATATTATAATTAACAAGACGCTCTGTGGAGCGTTAACTCGCTGGGGCTACACAATTACTGACGCACATTACTGTTAAGATCTAAAGGCCGATTTCCACTGGCATTGTTGCGTTTTTCGTACGCACGTACACGCACGTAAAACTTTGAATCCTTCTATTTTTAAACATTTTACAAATAATGATGCTTGTGATGTTACTCTGAGTGTATATCCACACTGGGCAAGCTTGAAAAATATGCCTGACCACGGTGGGAATCGAACCTACGACCTTTGGCATACTAGCCCAACGCTCTGTCAACTGAGCTACGCGGTCTGGTCGGTTCGAGTATGTGATCATGATAAGCATCATATTCACCTGAGTACATTACACCAACACAGAAAAAAAATCATTTTACAAATAAGTTAACAAATTCATACTAAAACTTGCGGAGCAGTAAATTCTGTTGCTTTATTGATTTGGTTATTTTACAGATTTAAAGTTTTACGTGCGTATATTAAGCCTGGTGTGGAAATTAAGCCTGGCCCCCGAGCTAAGGGAAAACTTCCGGCGTTTATGCCCACAAGTAAAGTTATATTTTATAGTACGCTACATTCTTCTGTCGGCCGCCAGTTTAAAACGTTCAAAATAAAATATTTTGGGGCTTTTGGGCTTAAAATATTATCAAAATGAAGAGAGAAGTGAGACGAATCCACTGGTGTACGGCCGAAAAAGAGAAAACCAATGATACCAAAGTTATCAAGGATCAAACATACTGCATCTTTTATAATTTGAGCGATTTGTCAACAAATAATACAATTTCGCTTGGCTTTCAAAGACAAAGTCAGAGGCCATAAATCGCTAGAATACTGTTGTCAGTTGTTTAGTAGCCTGCGAGCAGGCTCTCTGGGGAAAGAGAGCCTGCAAGGATCCCTTTGATGATTCGGTGCATGCGTCCAATATTTGGACGCAGTGCTCTGATTGGTTGATAACTGATTCATATGAAGTGATTGACAAGCTTCCATAAACTTGCACTTCCCGTTTGTAAAACCGAGCAACGCAAAGCTTCGGAATTGCGGCAATGTAGAGATAAAAGTGTCATGTATTTTGATCCTGGGTGACTTTTTACTGTAAATTAATATAGTATTCATATAAAGACGAATACTAAAAGCTTGCATGCTTTATTGTGTCCTTGGCTTGTCTGACTCCTAAGCTAAGAATAATTCTTGAGAAAGACTGCACAAATTCGCAAACCGAAACCTAGGGACAAGGCATTATATCGCTTCTCTTTTATGAAACAATATTGGGAATTTTGATAATATTCAGTGCATATTGTGTGTATTAAGCTTGTTTTACAATGTTATACTGACTATTTAATATTTATAAGTATGCGGCGTTAAAATGTACAGTAATTTACTCGTCACTTTGTTTACAATAATTATCACATGCATGTTTACTGCAATTCCACTTTTTGTTGCAAAATTTGAACTATAAACATATTATTAAATAATGTCCAATGTCCATGGTATATCATATATGTCTATGTCTCACCAAAGCCATAAATTTCAGTAATTTATATTATTACTATATATAGACTGTATACAGTGTATATTATATATTGCA